GGGACACCTACATACCCTCTAGGGGACACCTACATACCGTCTAGGGGACTACATAAACCCTCTAGGGGACACCTACATACCGTTTGGGGACACCTACATACCGTCTAAGGGGGCACCTACATACCGTCTAGGGACACCTACATACCGTCTAGGGGACACCTACATTCCGTCTAGGGGACACCTACATACCGTCTAGGGGACAACCTACATACCGTCTTGGGGGCACCTACATACCGTTTAGGGGACACCAAAAATACCGTCTAGGGGACACCTACAACCGTCTAGGGGGCACTAATACCAACAAGGTTTAGTGCGTTTAGGGGGTTGTAAGCACTTTCATTGTTACCCTTCTTGTTGTAGGATGGCCAAAACTCAAAATCCAAAAACTGTGTCTTTAATAACAATAAAACTTACATAGTATCTTCATATATCTATGAACTATTCTTAATTAAAATGAGCAATGAAAAATTAAATTTCTCCCTTACATATTAATGATAGTATTATAAATATACAAGTATTGTTACGACCCAAGAGTCTGCTAGGAAACAGTTCCAAATAGGAGAGTCAGGTAATCAGTCTGTTGCTAAAATACGATATTAGGTAATATGATCAAATGAACTCTTATATCAGATAAAAGGGGGAAGGGGTATTTGGTTGTGAAGGCACTCTATGAGTGTGGGAAGTACCTCAGCAAGTGTTGAGAACCCAAATGCGGGCCCCCGAGTGCAAGTGACGTCAGGTTGGTCACGTGACTAGGGGGGGCATACCTCTATAACTGGCGCTCCCAACTGGTAGTTTCCCAACCCGACGTCAGCTTAGCACTCAGGGGTACCGGCAGTAGGTTCTCAACACTTGCTGAGAGTAGCTTCACCACACTCACTGAGAGTGCCTTCACAACTCTGACTAGCACTCCCATTTCTAGTCTGATATAAGAGTTCACTGATCATATTACCTAATATCGTATTTTAGCAACAGACTGATTACCTGACTCTCCTACTTGGAACTGTTTCCTAGCAGACTCTTGGGTCGTAACAATACTTGTATATTTATAATACTATCATTAATATGTAAGGGAGAAAGTAATTTCATTGCTCTATTTTAATTAAGATATAGTTCATAGATATATGAAGATACTATGTAAGTTTTATTGTTATTAAAGACACAGATTTTGGATTTTGAGTTTTGGCCATCCTACAACAAGAAGGTTAACAATGAAAGTGCTTACAACCGCTAAACGCACTAAAACCTTGTTGGTATGTAGGTGTCCCCTAGACGGTATGTAGGTGTCCCCTAGACGGTATGTAGGTGTCCCCTAGACGGTATGTAGGTGTCCCCTAGACGGTATGTAGGTGTCCCCTAGACGGTATGTAGGTGTCCCTAGACGGTATGTAGGTGTCCCTAGACGGTATGTAGGTGTCCCCTAGACGGTATGTAGGTGTCCTAGACGGTATGTAGGTGTCCCCTAGACGGTATGTAGGTGTCCCCTAGACGGTATGTAGGTGTCCCCTAGACGGTATGTAGGTGTCCCCTAGACGGTATGTAGGTGTCCCCTAGACGGTATGTAGGTGTCCCCTAGACGGTATGTAGGTGTCTCCTAGACGGTATGTAGGTGTCCCCTAGACGGTATGTAGGTGTCCCCTAGACGGTATGTAGGTGTCCCCTAGACGGTATGTAGGTGTCCCCTAGACGGTATGTAGGTGTCCCCTAGACGGTATGTAGGTGTCCCCTAGACGGTAGACAACCTCGCAACTGATACACCATCAAGCATCAGTAGCCTAATGTTATACACTCCATATTGTAAGTGTTAGTGTTGGTGTGGAGGTGAAGGTGGAAGTGAACAAGCACACACACTGGTCACACGGTGTGTGTCAGCAGGAGGGAGTGACACACACTGGTCACACGGTGTGTGTCAGCAAGAGGGAGTGACACACACTGGTCACACGGTGTGTGTCAGCAGGAGGGAAGTGGACACACACTGGTCACACGGTGTGTCAGCAAGAGGGAGTGACACACACTGGTCACACGGTGTGTCAGCAAGAGGGAGTGACACACACTGGTCACACGGTGTGTCAGCAAGAGGGAGTAACACACACACTGGTCACACGGTGTGTCAACAAGAGGGAGTAACACACACACTGGTCACACGGTGTGTCAGCAAGAGGGAGTGACACACACACTGGTCACACGGTGTGTCAGCAAGAGGGAGTGACACACACACTGGTCACACGGTGTGTCGACAAGAGGGAGTGACACACACTGGTCACACGGTGTGTCAGCAAGAGGGAGTAACACACACACTGGTCACACGGTGTGTCAGCAAGAGGGAGTAACACACACACTGGTCACACGGTGTGTCAACAAGAGGGAGTAACACACACACTGGTCACACGGTGTGTCAGCAAGAGGGAGTAACACACACACTGGTCACACGGTGTGTCAGCAAGAGGGAGTGACACACACAATGGTCACACGGTGTGTCAGCAAGAGGGAGTGACACACACACTGGTCACACGGTGTGTCAGCAAGAGGGAGTGACACACACAATGGTCACACGGTGTGTCAGCAAAGAGGGAGTAAACACACACTGGTCACACGGTGTGTCAGCAAGAGGGAGTAACACACACACTGGTCACACGGTGTGTCAGCAAGAGGGAGTAACACACACACTGGTCACACGGTGTGTCAGCAAGAGGGAGTAACACACACACTGGTCACACGGTGTGTCAGCAGAGGGAAGTAACACACACACTGGTCACCAGGTGTGGGCAGCAGAGGGAGTAACAACCCCATGGTCACACGGTGTGTCAGCAAGAGGGAGTAACCACATGGTCACACGGGTGTGTCAGCAAGAGGGAGTAAAAACCACACTGGTCACAAAGGTGTGTCAGCAAGGGGAGTAACACACACTGGTCACACGGTGTGTCAGCCAAAAGGGGAAATAACACAACACTGGTCAACACGGTTTTGTCGCAAGAGGGAGTGACACCCCACTGGTCACACGGGTGTCAGCGAAGAGTGACACACACACTGGTCACACGGTGTGTCAGCAAGAGGGAGTAACACCACATGAGTAACACACACTGGTCACACGGTGTGTCAGCAAGAGGGAGTAACACACACACTGAGTAACACACACTGGTCACACGGTTTTGCCAGCAAGAGGGAGTAACACCCCACACTGAGTAACACCACTGGTCACACGGTGTGCCAGCAAGAGGGAGTAACACCACACTGGTTCACACGGTTGTGTCAGCAAGAGGGAGTAACACACACACTGAGTAACACACTGGTAAACACGGTGTGCCCGCAAGAGGGGTAAAACACACACACTGGTCACACGGTGTGTCAACAAGGGGAGTGACACACACACTGGTCACACAAACACTACATATACACATTATAAACATTCCTCACTATTGTGCTGTTTTTTCATGATCATCAACACAAGTTTAACAGGTGCATATGGGCACACACACACACACACACACACACAGCCACAGAGTAGTCAGTAAGTGGAATAGTTTTGGGAAGTGATGTAGTGGAGGCAGGATCCATACTAGCTTTAAGCAGAGGTATGATAAAGTCACGGCTCAGGGAGAGTGACCTAGTAGCGATCAGTGAAGAGGCGGGGGGGCCCGGAGCTCGGACTCGACCCCCGCAACCTCAACAGGTGGGGTAACTACGATAACTTAAGACGAAAATTTCAATAAAGTTCATGGAGCCGGAGAGAGTGGACTTGTGCAAACCCGCAAGAGGCGGGGCCAAGAACTGTGAATCAACCAATTCAACAACAAACAGGGGAGGACAAAAAAAGGGGGTTTACCACACAGTCTGTGGCAATGGGGTTCCACAGGGATCAGTCCTATGATCGTGGGGTTTTTGGTATATGT